ACAACACACACACACACACACACACACACACACACAGAGAGAGAGAGAGTTAGGGTTGTGATATTAGATTGCAGGGAGCTAACAAAAGCATGTACGGTCTCAGCTCAATGTTTCTCCTCTCATAGCAGCGATATCCATTAGTTAGGCACACATTTTCAAAGTAGAAAAATCACAGACATGTAACTGGTGTTGGAGTATCACAGACAAAAAAAAGTAATTTGAAGACAACATGTAGCACTCTGAGAAGTTGTACTAGACACTGATCTGACATTTTACAGATTTTAATGTTACTCAAGTCCAAAGACGCAGGTTAACTGGCGACTCTCAATTGCCCTTAGGTGTAAATTGGAATGGTTGTAAATCTCCTGTGCAACAGACTGGTGATCTGTCCGGCGTGTACCCCGCCTCTCTCTCAGTGTTAGCTCAGATCAGCTCCATCCCCTCAGCAGAATAAGCAGACTAGCTAATGGATGCATCAGTAATGAAAATGATTAGCTCGACCCCTAATTCAACCTAATTTGTCATGTTTTTTGCTCCCAGTCCAGAATTGTTCTTTTATTTTCATTGCATTTTTAATAATCATACAGTGAGTATACAGTGGGTACGGAAAGTATTCAGACCCCCTTAAAATTTTCACTCTTTGTTATATTGCAGCCATATGCTAAAATCATTTAAGTTCATTTTTTTCCTCATTAATGTACACACAGCACCCCATATTGACAGAAAAACACAATTTTTGACATTTTTGCAGATTTATTAAAAAAGAAAAACTGAAATATCACATGGTCATAAGTATTCAGACCCTTTGCTGTGACACTCATATATTTAACTTAGGTGCTGTCCATTTCTTCTGATCATCCCTGAGATGGTTCTACACCTTCATTTGAGTCCAGCTGTGTTTGATTATACTGATTGGACGTGATTAGGAAAAGCCACACACCTGTCTATATAAGACCCTACAGCTCACACTGCATGTCAGAGCAAATGAGAATCATGAAGTCAAAGGAACTGCCTGAAGAGCTCACAGACAGAATTGTGGCAAGGCACAGATCTGGCCAAGGTTACAAAAAAAATGTCTGCTGCACTTAAGGTTCCTAAGAGCACAGTGGCCTCCATAATCCTTAAATGGAAGACGTTTGGGACGACCAGAACCCTTCCTAGAGCTGGCCGTCCGGCCAAACTGAGCTATCGGGGGAGAAGAGCCTTGGTGAGAGAGGTACAGAAGAACCCAAAGATGACTGTGGCTGAGCTCCAGAGATGCAGTCGGGAGATGGGAGAAAGTTGTAGAAAGTCAAAGAAAGTCAACCATCACTGCAGCCCTCCACCAGTCGGGGCTTTAGGGCAGAGTGGCCTGACACCTGTCCAATACAGTCCCAACAGTGAAGCATGGTGGTGGCAGCATCATGCTATGGGGGTGTTTTTCAGCTGCAGGGACAGGACGACTGGTTGCAATCGAGGGAAGGATGAATGTGGCCAAGTACAGGGATATCCTGGACGAAAACCTTCTCCAGAGTGCTCAGGACCTCAGGCTGGGCCGAAGGTTCACCTTCCAACAAGACAATGACCCTAAGCACACAGCTAAAATAACGAAGGAGCGGCTTCACAATAACTCCGTGACTGTTCTTGAATGGTCCAGCCAGAGCCCTGACTTAAACCCAATTGAGCATCTCTGGAGAGACCTGAAAATGGCTGTCCACCAATGTTTACCATCCAACCTGACAGAACTGGAGAGGATCTGCAAGGAGGAATGGCAGAGGATCCCCAAATGCAGGTGTGAAAAACTTGTTGCATCATTCCTAAAAAGACTCATGGCTGTATTAGCTCAACAGGGTGCTTCTACTAAATACTGAGCAAAGGGTCTGAATACTTATGACCATGTGATATTTCAGTTTTTCTTTTTTAATAAATCTGCAAAAATGTCAAACATTCTGTGTTTTTCTGTCAATATGGGGTGCTGTGTGTACATTAATGAGGAAAAAAATGAACTTAAATGATTTTAGCATATGGCTGCAATATAACAAAGAGTGAAAAATTTAAGGGGGTCTGAATACTTTCCGTACCCACTGTATGTTATCACGACAGTGGTTCACATGTATGTACCTGGATGACACCTGAGCCAGTTCTTTACACTGAATGAACACTGTGTGATTTGAATGAAAGCTCATTCAAGACCTTTGAGTTTAGATTATTTTGGTGCATGCCTTATAAAAGCATTACCAACAGAAACCAGGAATACTGTCACCATGGCAGCTTTACCACAATCTAACTGGACTGGAAGAGTTAACATTAAAAACACAAGATTATCTAATAAAATATGATGCCCTGGCAGAGCATACTAACCAACTGTACTGTATGTAGTAATCAATTAAAACTAGCTTCACAAGCAGCTGCAACAGTAAAATGCTACTAAATTATGTGCAAAATATCAGATATACTCTGATAATTCAGTGATACATCATATTTAATGATGTATGCTACCAAACATTACAGCCGTGTCCCCCACCCGGCACCTCGTCTACTGACATCTGTGGAATCTGTGTCAGTGCTGCTGCACCCCTGTAACTGCCCGTGCACACATTAGTGCAGGCTGAGCTGTCATCTGCCCAGCCCTTATTGTTCCCTTTGCTGCAGAGGCGGAGAGGAGCCAACTGGGACTTGGCTGACCATAAATTTCAGCAGGTTATGGGCACTGCAAAGTGAGGAAGTGGGTAGTTAGAAGTAAGATAGAATTATCTGCCACCTCCCTGCTGTTGCCGAGTATCGGCAGGGAGGAACTGAGAGGTGCTGATAGCTGGGTGCAGCTTTAGTGTATGAGTGTGTCACTGCCCTACGCCATCAGCACTATAAAGCCACATACTGTATACCACACCACACCACACCACACCGAAATGATACCTGCAGCTGCAGTTACTTCACTACTGTTTCGCCACTGCATAGACAACCTGTAGGTCCTGTGGCTCTGACAGCAGTACAGAATTCACCATATGATTTCTCAAGAGTGCTGTCACGCCATCATCAGTGGTGCCTCAGAGAGATGAGAACAGACTAAAAACAAGTAACGCTACTAGAGATGCACCGATTGCAGGTTTTTGGGCTGATTCCGATTTCCAATTTTTTTTTTTTTTAAGTGTG